GGGAAAAGACTGTCTAGGAAGGAGTATGGCATGGGAAAAGACTGTCTAGGAAGGAGTACGGCAGAAAGGGATCTAGGGGTTATAGTGGACCACAAGCTAAATATGAGTCAACAGTGTGATGCTGTTGACAAAAAAAGCAAACATGATTCTGGGATGCATTTAACAGGTGTGTTGTGAGCAAGACACGAGAAGTCATTCTTCCGCTCTTACTCTGCTCTGGTTAGGCCTCAGCTGGAGTATTGTGTCCAGTTCTGGGCGCCGCATTTTAAAAAAGATGTGGAGAAATTGGAAAGGGTCCAAAGAAGAGCAACAAGAATGATTAAAGGTCTTGAGAACATGACCTATGAAGGAAGGCTGAAAGAACTGGGTTTGTTTAGTTTGGAGAAGAGAAGACTGAGAGGGGACATGATAGCAGTTTTCAGGTATTTAAAAGGGTGTCATGAGGAGGAGGGAGAGAACTTGTTCACCTTAGCCTCTAAGGATAGAACCAGAAACAATGGGTTTAAACTGCAGCAAGGGAGGTCTAGGTTGGACATTAGGAAAAAGTTCCTAACTGTCAGGGTGGTTAAACACTGGAACAAATTGCCTAGGGAGGTGGTGGAATCTCCATCTCTGGAGATATTTAAGAGTAGGTTAGATAAATGTCTATCAGGGATAGTCTAGACAGTATTTGGTCCTGCCATGCGGGCAGGGGACTGGACTCGATGACCTCTCGAGGTCCCTTCCAGTCCTATAATCTATGATTCTATGATTTCCCCTTGTGTGAATGGGGGATATTGAGTCACTCTGCACCTTGTGTCTGGTTAGATCATCAGGACTTGGCTCTAAGGCAGGGTCTTTTTCTCCCCGTGTCTGTGCAGCACCCAGCACCTCTGACTCCCAGCCCCCTCCCGATCTAACCACTAGTCCCCACTCCCCTCCCAGAGCCAGGGATAGAACCCAGGAGTCCTGGCTCCCAGGTTGCTGGGCCCCGTTAAGGAGATAGATGGGTACAGAGGGGTGCTCTGGAGTTTAGGCAGTTTCGGGCGTAGCTCCCAGGAATCTCTGGGATCTCGGAGAGGTTCCTCTGGCTGGGTTTTCCCCGAGGAGCCCTGTCTCTGGGACTGTGTGGCGAGAATGGGGCACAATGACTGTGCTGGGGTCTGTCTCATGGCCTGTCTCCTTCTCATGGTAGACCTCAGGTACCCCAAACCCTCCATCTCCCTGAGCCCCAGTGGGGATGTCGCCCTGGGGGGAGCTGTGACCGTCCAGTGTCGGGGTCGGCACCAGAACGTGAGGTTCCTTCTGTACAAAGATGGAAACCCGAACGCGCTGCAGAACACGGAGCCGGCTGGGAACGTGGCTGAGTTTCCCATTCACAGCGTGAGCCAGAGACACGCAGGGAGCTACAGCTGCTATTATTACAGCCATTGGAACCCGCCCGTCTGGTCACATCCCAGTGACCCCGTGGAGCTGGTGGTAGCAGGTGAGGGGCCCGGCTCAGTATCCCCGCTCCCCGCCCCACACCCAGCCAGACCCTCAGGGGCAGGGGCATGTGCAAGGGGGAAGCACGCGCAGGGGCCCCCCTGAATCAATGGGGCTGGAGCACAGAACTCCTCCGGGGAGCAGAGCCAGCTCCTCTGGCTGTGGGGGGCACAGAAAGTGTCTCTCCAAAAGCGGCCACACTTTTATTCCTGTGCACACCTTTGATCAGGGCGTCTCTGCGCCAATGGGGCGCTCAGAGCCAGGCTCTGCCCTGAGCCCTGGGCCCAGCAGAGGGGACGCCCGGCTGGGGGGCAGGGACAGAATCACTGGTGGGTTCCCCAGCAAGGGGACAGCAGCAGCTTCCGGACGTTCGGGTATGAGGGAGGGGGGATGCCTGCCCCAGGGTACCTGCAGACCAGGGGGTCTTTCCAAGGGAGATGCTGCCCCAGCCTTCCCCACTCCAGGGACACACAGAGGAGTCAGGGCCCAGGGGCTGCCCAGCCGGCCCCGCCCCCCGCCTGTGACTGCATTCCAGGGCTGGCTGTGTGATGCCCACCTGGGCTGGGGGCTGTTGGGTTCAAGAGCAGTGGGAGCTGCACACGTTGGCTGCTCAGAAGCAGCCTGGAAACAACAGCTGTGGGGAGACCCCCAAGGATTCCCGGGCAGCAGCAGTGGGGGGAGCTCGAGCCTGGGGTGGGATTTTTTGTGGTGGGGAGAGAGAGAAAACAGCAGGGGACAGCAGCCAGCAGCTCCTCCCCCGCCCCCAGCGCTGCTGGTGGAAATGGCTGGTAGAGTTTGGAGGGAGGCTGCCCAGCGCCAGGAGAGAGACACCAGCAGCCAGCGAGGTGGCAACTGGCACCAGAAATGCAGGGACCCAGCGAGCGGGAGCCAGTGGAAAGGGACCCGGTGCTCAAGCTGTGTCATCGAAGGGGCCAGGCAGAGAACTGGGAGGGAGAAAGTCCCATTGAGAAGGGACAGAGATGGCAGGAACAGGGGGAGGCAGACAGAGGAAAGACAGAGGTGTGAGGGGGAAAGTTAAAGGAAGAACCGGGCAGTGAAACACGAAGAATAAAGAGTCTCTAAGTTACAAAGAAATTGTTAGAAAACCGCAGGAGAAGTAAAGCACGAATGAAACGTGACAGAAACCAGCTGTGAGCAAAGAGAAATGGGCGGAGAAATGAGGAGGAAGTGAGCTGTAGCGAAAGTAAAACTAATAGTGCGGACAAAACGTCTGCCCAGCACCTCCAGGCGCAGCGACAGGAAGGGAAAAATTGTCCGAGAGCAAAGGGACTCTAGAAAAAGCAGCGGAGGGACAGTTGTTCGATTGAGAAGCCGACCCATCGCCTGGAGAAATAGCTGCAGGTATCTGAGCTGGAACTCAGAGCAGCAAACAGAGACGGCGCAAGGGGAC